GATAGATAGATAGATAGATAGATAGATAGATAGATAGATAGATAGATGTGGATGGATGGATGGATAGATAGATACATAGATGTGGATGGATGGATGGATGGATGGATGGATGGATACATAGATGTGGATGGATGGATAGGTAGGTAGGTAGATGTGCATGATGGATGGATGGATAGATAGATAGATAGATAGATGATAGATAGATAGATAGATAGATAGATAGATAGATAGATAGATAGATTGATTGATTGATTGATTATAGGAAGGAAGGTCGATAGATAGAGAATGAATACAAAGAACAAAATAGTAGCAGAGGCAGAAAACCTGTCCGGATGTTGCTAAACTACAACTCCCAGCAGCCTCAGGCCAGAGTAAGGGATGCTGGGGACTGTGGTCCAACAACATCTGGAAATCTATTTTCAGCATGATGACTAGTTTTCTTCTAGCATGCCCTTGATAAAGATGAGCAAACAATAAAAGTTGATATGCGGATCAAGATGAATCACCCTAGAAGGCACCAAAGTTCCCTCCATCCAGACCAGACCAGACCAGACCAAGCTCTTCATCATTTCTCATCCCTCAGTTTGCCAATATTACTTGGGGAATGTGACACGCTTCATGGAGTTGCTTGTAAAATTGGCCTGTGTTGTGACAGGCCTGGGCACAGCTACCCAACCCTTATGATGGTGGCATTGAAAGCCAGAGTGGAAGGACACACATCTGAGAAAGTCCTCAACGCATCCTCAGAGTCAACCCAAGGACCCGGTCCTTACGAGCAAGGAATCCATGGCTTGCAAACAACATCCTTTGTGTAGCTGCGCAAGGCCTTTCTGTGAAGGTGTGGCATCCTAGAACACCTCCATCCATGGAGGGCAACACAATCCATTTAAAATACCAACCATTTGAAAGAGAAACGGCACAGACAAACATAAGTTTGACCTTGGAGAAGATAGTCAGAGATCATTAGCAAAACATGAGGTCAGCGCAAGAAAACAAGACCACATGAGAATGACATTTAACTTTGCTACCCTTGGCATAAAAGGAAGGAAGGGAAAATATTAGGCTTTCACGATGCTGTAAGAGCTTATCTCAGTAAACTAGACTTCCAGCATTCTTCTGGTGTTGGTTTTTTTGACCTGACCTACATCCAAGGGCTGAGGAATTTGAAGGCGACTTCAAACAACAGCCAAATTAGTATTTAAAAAAAGCAGTGCCCTAACCAGAACCAACATTCCATTGGTCCCAGCCCTGTTAATCTCTCAAAAGTCAAAAAAAATATATCTAATTTTTCCCCAAGGTATTTGGGCAGGATAGATAGACGTTCTTATTTTGGGTGACCTATCTTGGATTTGAACTTCTGCTTTGCTTTATCTTGGCTATTATGTTAATTCTGTGTTGGCTGCCCCGGGGTCAAGTTGGATAAATAAATGGGAGAATATAAATCAATATTTTTGGATGAATGAATGACTTGACCAAAGGCAGAGCATCTTTTTGGGGAAAGAACTCTCCATGTTTGATGGCCAAGCTGCAGCCCCTTCTTTTCTGGAGGAACATTCCCCAACCTACCATTTGTCCCACGCAGATGCTAGCGGCCTCCATCATGGCTCCGTCTGCTATGGATCTCGCGGATTCCTTATCCAGGTGGGGGTTTCCTGAGAGCATCTGTTGTACCACCTGGCCAGGAGAAACAAGTAAAACCGGTTGGAGGAGGAGGAGGAGCAACAGGTCACCGAAAGAGCAAAAGGCTGAGTGGAAGGCCAAACTGATACTTTACATTCCTGTATTCCTGTAAGGTGATCTTGCCATCACTGTCTCCATCATACATGTGGAAGAGGACTGGAAGAGACAAAGAGAAAAAAATAAGCCTGGATCGCAAGATAAACATCCATCATTAACTGCTGAATCCGTTGAGGTGCAACAGTTAAAACCCAACCTGGGTTGAGACCCATAATGCAAGTTTTGGTCCATCTTGGTAGAATCCAAGTTCTACCAAATACATCTTGGTGGTAGAATCGAAGCTGGAGAAGCTTCTTGGATGAGAAGCGAAACGTCTTCAAAGAAAAATGAGAAAGTCCAGTTGCCTCTTGAAAAAAGCACCTTTGGGACAACTGAGGACACAGATAAACCTCCAAGTGGCCTCAACGACCCTCTAAAAGGATGCAAATGACCAGCTGTCTGCAAGGAGTATAAATCCTTCCATTCCCCCACCATCCAGTCAGAGGTGAAGAAGCTTCTCGGATGAGAAGTGAAAAGTCTTCAAAGAAAAACCAGAAAGTCCAGTTGCTTCTTGAAAAAAAAAAAGCACCTTTGGGACAACTACGACTTGGATGACTGAGGATCTTCAGAAACATTCTGGTAGAATGTTATCGTCCCGCAAGGTTACGACCAGGATGCACACGATTGCCAACATGTCTTCTCCATAACACGTTTTCTCCATTGCAAGATTGATAACACAATTCTACAATCTCTACAACTCTGAAGGTGGGGGGGTAGGTAAGGGAGGGCGAGATTTTAGGCAGAAATATTCATGATCAGCTGGCGTTGGCCGCAACTGAGATTCCAGATTCAGTAGCAAACATCTGTTAGCGCCTTTTCAGATTAACACATTTTATGGGGGGGGGGGGAGAAACGTGCATTTAAATCTGCAGTTCAGAAAAGCTAATGCCTTTTAATAAAAACCCGTTAGTCTGCTAATTAAACCCTCCAGTTGTTTTTTTGGATACTGGGGACTAACACAGCTTTCTCCCAAATGCAGTGGGTTGTGTGTGTCAGTGCTAACTTTTTTTGGAGGGGGGAAATGACGGAAATGTCCCTTTTAGCTGACTGGATTGGACCAATTTTTGGCAGGATCGAAGGACTACCAAGAGCAACTGCTGTGGCGGATGCTTGAAAATGAACGCATGTCAGCTTGGACATCAATTACCAAAGATGGGATTGTTGTGGGAGACCTACTATTTTGTTTTATCTGTTTTTCAACGTTTGATGGATTGATTGCCGCTTTAAAAATCATTGATTGATTTTTGGCATTACCAAAAATCACTCAAATCACTTGGGAACCCTAAGAAAAGACAGCCTCTTACTAAGGGACTGAAAAATATATATATATTAATTAGAAGACGACGGCATAAACAAGCTAGGTTCAAAAGGATGCGCTAAAGCCACGTCTGGGCTGGGTTCACATTAACCCCGATTGCAGACACACTTATGCCGGGTTCAAAAAGAGGCTCCTCTATTTACATTTCAACTTCTGCTTCCTGAAGCGCTCCTGTTGCTCCTCATCCATGTTCAGCTCGATGGGGCGGAAGTTGGACATGATGGTCAGAAAATCCTCGAAGTTGATTTCGTCCACAAAACCTTCCGAGGCTGCCCGCAGATTCCTGCAAGCGGAGAAGAGATTCAGGGCCGGCTTTGCTGGCTGCGCATCGCTTTCTCCCGACCCCAAGCGAGCTCGTAAAACTTGAACTGCAGAGGGCTTATTCTAAGGGGAATCCTCAACTTACGACCACCCTGGAGGCCAAAATTTACGCTGCTGAGACCCTTGTTAAGCGAGTTTGCACCCCATTTTACATCGGTTGTTAAGTGAATCGCTGCCATTGTTAAGGGAGTAACACGGCCGTTGTGAGTGAATACATTTCCCCCCGTTGAATCTGAAGGTTGCCATCCCACAATTCTGGGACACCGCAGCCGTCATAAATACGGAACAGTTGCCAAGCCTGGGAATTTGGGTGCTTGACAATTGACTCGCGTTTATGACGGTTGAAGCATCCCAGGGAGCCCCTTTTGTGACCTTCAGACGAGCAAAGCCAGCGGGGGGGGGATTCATTTAACAACCATGTGACTAACATCCTAACTGCATTGATTCTGTTATGGTTCGCCAGCAGCAGGTGTGGACGGCTGAAGTCTTGGAGAGCGAGGACTCATTCGAGGGGCCGGCATGTGAGGCAGGGATGGGGCCAGGACCATCAGGGAGTGGAGTTCTGCCTACGGATTTTGTGGAGGCTGGCAGCAGTGATGAAGAGGTTCCTGAGGAGCCTGTGCCCAGTGCGCATGCGCGCAGGGCTGCTCGAAGGAAAGAGCAGCTGCAGCAGCACGGGCGACTCGGGAGAAAGGCTGCAAGGTGATGGCCCCTCCCTTAAGGGATAAAAGCCAGCTGAGAAACCGGAGTTCTTTGCAGGAAGCAAAGAAGTTTTTGCACTCAAGCCTTGTGGATGTTTGGAATATCTTGGTTGGTGTTTGGAGACTCTTTGTGTTTGAAATATTTCTTAGTAACTTTATCTAGTGTTCTTGGCAGCCTTGCACCACCTTGGCAAGGCTCGTTCTTATCAGAGACAATTAGCTTGAAACAGCCTTTTAACCGGGAAGGAATTCGTAAAGATTCATTAAAAGGTTTTGCTGTTACCTCTGTTTCGTGTTTGTTTCCTTGGAACCAGGTTTGGGTCAGAACAGATTTGCTTTAACAACTGGGGCAAAAAAAAAAAGGTCGTAACATGAGGCAATTAACAATTGTCTTGCTTAGCCGCAGAAATTTCAGGCTCAATGGTGGTCGTAAGTCGAGGACTAGAGAGGTAGGTGCCACTGGCTTATCTCTTACACTTTCTTTTACGCTTATTCTGCTTTTCTGTTTGGGGAGGTTTTTTTTTGTCTAGTATCTTTCCCATATTTCCAGGGAATAAAATCAACGAAAGAACAAGCGATCGCATTCAGACCATACATTCAGCTCAGCTAGTTTCCCCCCCACTTTCTTTAGCACATCAAGCAAGGCACACAAACACACACCCTTCACCTAGCTTATGACTCACTCCATGGCTCAATCATTGGATTAAGTCAGTAATCAGATTAAAGGTGCTAGACAAACTTAATCACAGGAAGGTGGCTTAGAAATGTCGCAACAGGCGGGAAATGTAATAGTCGCTGAGCAATGCCACCGCGAGTTACAGGTCGTCCTTGTTTAGTGGCTGCCTCATTTGGTGGTCCCTTGCAGTTACAACCATGATCAAAAGCCCTTAGACTTATAGACCGCTTCCCAGCGCTTCCAGCTCTCTAAGCGGTTTGCAGAGTCAGCCTCTTGACCCTTCCTTTTATCCATCTCGGAAGGATGGAAGGCTGAGCCAACCTTGAGCCGGTCAGGGTCAAACAAACTCCTGGCAATGAGCAATGAGTTAGTCTGCAATGCTGCATTGTAATCACTGTGCACCATGGATGGATGAAAGAAAGGGGAGGAAGAATGGGTGGACGATGGATGGATGGATAGAAGGAAGAAAGGAAGATAGGAAGGAAAGAAGGAAGGAAGTTGGGAAGGAAGGAAGGAGGGAGGGAAGGAAGGAAGATAGGAAGGAAGGAAAGGAAGGAAGATGGAAGGGAAGAAGGAAGATAGGAAGGAAAGAAGGAAGGAAGATAGGAAGGAAGATAGGAAGGAAGATAGGAAGGAAGGAAGATAGGAAAGAAGGAAAGTAGGGAGGGAAGAAGGAAGATAGGAAGGAAGGAAGGAAGATAGGAAGGGAAGGAGGGAGAAAGGAAGGTAGGAAGGAAGGAAAGAAGGAAGGAAGGGAGGGAGGAAGGGAAGAAGGAAGGAAGGAAGGAAGATAGGAAGGAAGGAAGGAAGATAGGAAGGAAGGGAGGGAGGGAGGAAGGGAGGAAGGAAGATAGGAAGGAAGGAAGGAAGATAGGAAGGAAGGGAGGGAGGGAGGAAGGGAAGAAGGAAGATAGGAAGGAAGGTAGGAAGATAGGAAGGAAGGAAGATAGGAAGGGAAGGAGGGAGGGAGAAAGGAAGGAAAGAAGGAAGGAAGG